CCGTGCCCGCTTCCCAGTAGTAAGGCTTGCCTATGGTCACAGTGAAGCCTTTTTCCCCAGCCCATAGCTTCCGCTGAGCCTCCTCTTCGCTGGTAGGATTGAGATGGGTGTAATTCTCGACAGCAGTGAGTTCCTCCATAGGCCAAGATTTTCCAATGGAGAAGGACCCGTTGGCGTTCTCCCTGGCTTTGTGCAGCTTCACCCTGCCTGTGTTGCGCACTGATATCATGATGATGCGCGCCTTCTTGTTCGACGGGGCCGAGCTCGGTGGTGGGGGGGACTGCGGGTAGCCGCCATCTTCTTGGACGCGGATGTGGGTGATATAAGATTCCTGGACTTTGGTTTGTCAGTCGATGCTATAGCACGTAGAGGTGTATGCCACGCATATATCCCAACATGCGCGGGCACTGATGTAGACACGTACGCTGGCCCTGGTCATCCGTCTTGGAGAAGCAGCTTTCGGTGATTCTCTTCCGCTCGTCGTCGAATCGTTCTGCGCGCGACATGCCAGAGGGCGTGGAGCTGGAGGCAGAAGGCGCCCCCCTCGAGCTGCCAGGTGGGCGGCCGGCAGGAGCTCGAGGGTCCCCCGCTCCGTTGGTGTAGTTGCGTGGCCTCCCCTCCATTCTGCTGTACGGCTATCTGCAAGGCCGATGGGGTAGTTGAAGGCGTGGGTGGATGATGCGCCGATTACTGCCGCCGGGCGCTAGCGAGAGGTCCTCCAGGAGCTGCCATGAATCGCGAAAGGTGGTAATGAGTCTTGCGATGGCCGGGCGATGCGACGTCGACGGGTGGAGCGGCGGTGAGGGGCAATCGGGGTGCTCAATGCGGTAGTCCCGGAACAAGTGCTGCCAAGTGCGCCGTTCGAGGGAAGAATGTGGGCGGCGAGTGAAAGAGGCAATGGGGTGGTGTGCGGAGAGGGACGTCTGGCGTCGTGTACTCCATATGAGACGGCAGGCGCGCGGGACAGGGATCACGTTTAGAGCTTAGCGCAGCCGGGGCGCTGAACCATTCCGCCTACCGTACTTTTTTTCTTGCGCGACGTCTGCTACCTTTCACGCCAGCACCACCATTCCACCGCCGCAATCCACGAAACACGACACGTACCGCGCAATGGCTACCGGGAAGGCTTCAAAGAAGTCTAGCGGTGACAAGAAGCAGAAGGCTGCGTCGACGGAAATTCCGCAGCTTGAGCTAGTAAAGAAGTTCCTCAAGAAGAAGGGCGAGAAGGACGCTGTCACCAAAATTGAAGAGGAATTTCACGGATGGTGTGCGTCGCCCATGAGCGACAACGATTCTGAGGCTAGCGACGATGAGGAAAGCGCATCCAGCAACGACTCAAGCAGCGAGTCTGAGGCCGAGGCAAAGCCAAAGAAGGCCAAGAAGACTGCTGGAAAGAAGGCAGCTGCGAAGGACGATGCTTCCAGCTCATCGAGTTCCTCCGACTCTAGCTCCGACTCTTCCAGCTCCAGCTCAGATTCCGAATCCGAATCTGAGAAGGAAAGCGCGCCGGCGAAACCCAAAGCGAAGAAGGCCAAATCCGTGTCTTCATCCTCTGCTTCCTCCTCCAGCGACTCGAGCGACTCCGATAGCAGCTCTGAAGAAGAGCCCGCCAACGTCCCGCTTCCTGACTCCGACTCGTCCGATGCCTCCAGCGACTCTTCGTCCAGCGACTCAGACAGCGATTCCTCGAGCTACAGCAGCTCCGACTCAGAAGCCGAGAAGAAGAAGGACAAGAAGGTGAAGAAGAGCAAGAAGGCTGCTTCGGTCTCATCATCGTCTGCTTCGAGCGACTCGGACTCTTCAGATTCTAGCGACTCCAGCGACTCTAGCTCCTCTGACAGCGACTCTGACGAAGAGCCAGCCAAGACGAAGAAGGCCAAGAAGAGCGGAAAGAAGGCTGCCACACCCTCGTCCTCAAGCGATTCTAGCTCCTCCGACAGCTCTTCGGACAGCTCCTCAGACAGCTCCTCCGACTCCGACAGCGACGACGAGAAGAAACCCGCTGCGCTCGAGCGCAAGGCCTCTGGCAGCGACTCGTCTCAGACTCTGCCAGCAACATCCCCCGAGCCAAAGAACAACAAGCGCAAGGCCGGCTCTCCTTCACAAGACGCTCCCAAGTCAAAGCGAAGCCACGTCGAGAACCGATTCCAGCGCATCAAGCCCGACGTCGTAGTCGACCCTAACCTCGCAAGCAACGCCTACGTTTCCTACGACTACGCCGACCGCGCGCACGCCAAGTTGATCGTCACCAAGGGCAAGGGCTTCACCAAGGAGAAAAATAAGGGAAAGAGGGGCTCCTACAGGGGTGGCATGATTGACACCTCTGGCGGCAAGGGCTTCAAGTTTGAGGACTGAGCGTCACAACCGGATATAGATGGGAGACGATTCGCAAAGCATTTTCACGAGTAGAACGAGGATATGCGCCTTGGCGTGTAAGAGTACGGCGAACACGGAGTTATGTATACCAAAAGCAGCATAGCCTTAATTGGCGACACTAGTACGAGACTTTGGTCGACTGAGGGTCGGATTACTGTGTTGAAAGTTTGAGTTTATAGATTTGTACAGTTCTAATCGTACATTGCATATGCACATTTTTAGTTCATCCATATGTGCTAGTCCGTCTCAGTGTTCTTCATTTCATCCGAGAAGACTCCGGTTTCGTGTCGCGATGCCGGTGATCCTCTATTGCATGATCCATATCTTGTAGACTCTAGCAGCGCGTCATCCCTCCAGCCATCATGCCCTCCAATGTCTGAAATCGCACCTCGCACACTTCCACCTCACTCCTACCAATCGCCGTCCCCCATCCTCAAGCCTTCTCCCCACCCTCCTCCTCAAACTCCACCGGTAAATTCATACCCACCCTCCTCGCGCTCAATCTAACCCTCTCCTCTTCCGTCATACCCATGCCCGGATTATACCGCTCCAGCAGCGTTGAATGCATCCGTTGCGCCTGCACATATTGTATGAATTGCTCCGCCTGTTGTAATTGACTTGTCGCGTTGGCATTGGGGTTCGATTGCGAGAGTGTCGAGCGGATGCGCTGTTGCAGTTTTGAAGGTGCGGAGAGCTTTTGGTGTTGAGTGCGGGTTAATTGGGGGGTGGAGGGGAGTTCGCGGAGGAGGCGTCGGTAGATGGAGAGGATTTGGGGGGTCGCGGGTTGTGCCATTGTGGGTGGTGGAGGTGTTTAGATTGATTCAGGAGATTGAATGATCGGAAGGAGCCCTAGGGACCGTAGTACTCGAAATGTGGTAGTCTGTTGGTGATGTTGGACAAGTTCACCACACGGAAGTGCTGCGGCGAAAAGATGCGGAAGAGCTTGGACCAGTCGTGAACTTCACATCCACCATCACTGTTTCTCCGTCTTTTTGCACGAACGCAATGAACAACTTACCGCCAAGTTCACGATACGTATGCCGCAGTTGCATACAACGGCTGTCGCGCCCACAGTCTAAAACCGTCACGCGATCGCAAGTGCGCCTACAGTCCACCGATGCATCTCAAGATGATGCGCCCAACGCGAGGTTACGGATACGGAAGCACTGGAATGGCGATGCGGTAGCGAAGTTCAGGCCGACTGCGCCAACACGCAGTATACTTCATATGAGCAAGACGGAAAATAAGCTGCGCGTAGAATTGACGGACGAGCAAAAACCCTCCGCGCAGGACCTTGAACGAGTAGCGGATGAACCACGCCCTCTTACGATGCGAGAGAGACGGCAACAAAACAGAGATGCGCCCATGACCACCGCACAAATGCGAGCAATGCGTGAGAGCCGAAGACACAAGAGAGAGTTGGAGATGGAACAATTAAAAGAAGAAGGGAAAGACATGGAACTAGCGCAAATGAACGCACCACATAAACCTCTTATCAAAAAGCCAAAGAGCGTTGTCATTCGCAAATGGGAGACAAATTTCCCCGCTGGTCGCAAGAAATCGTTCGGAGACGAGCTAGTACCCTCTCCGCCATCAGCGCCCTTAGGCAGACGGCCAAAGTCGGAGACAACACCAGATTCAGCGCCTGAGACGCCCATCACTTCGCTGTCGCTCAATCTCAACAAATTGCAAGACTTCAATTGGTACTGGGATACCTTTCCGCCAACTGTCGCACAGAAAACGACTGCAAACCACTTCTTCACCACCCACGGCCGCAACGCGAAGTTACTACGGAGCATAGCTCAATTCCGTCTCTTCCCCGAGTCTGACGTGCCGGAAGTAGCTTTCGTCGGTCGTTCCAACGTTGGCAAGAGCTCGCTGCTGAACGCTGTCGTAAACGCTGATATCAAGGCACTACTAGCGCGTACCTCTTCCACGCCCGGCTTCACGAAAACAATGAACCTCTACGGTCTCGGCGCTGGCAACGGCGTGACCATCAAGAAACAAGGCCAAGATCGCGAAAAGATCGTCGGTCTCGGTGGTCTAACCATCGTTGACATGCCCGGCTACGGCGAAGGTTCACTCGCATCCTGGGGTACGGAAATCATGAAGTACATTACCAACCGCAAGCAACTCCGCCGCGTATTCCTCTTGATTGACGCCGAACATGGTATCAAAGATAAAGACCGTTCCCTGCTCGCTTCACTGCGCCTAGCGGGTGTAAGTCACCAAGTCATCCTTTCCAAGCTAGATAAACTATACATCCCCGCTGCCAAAGAGATCAAACGCCACGATGGAAAAGTGCTGCATCGCTTGTCGCCAAAAGGTAGCCCCGAAGAACTCAGAAAAGCGATGGAGAAGTTTAAGTACGATATCCAGCCGCCGGTCGGAGGCGGTGCGCTAGGAGAGATTCTAGGTGTGAGTGCGGAGACGCTGGTCGAAGGGAAGAGGTTGGGTGTTGATCACGTGCGGTTCGCTGTGTTGAAGGCTGCGGGGTTGGATCAGAAGTTTAGAAGGGAGAGGAAGATGCAAGAGGAGAGAGCTGACAAAAGGGCACTCGAGTCGGGCGACTTCGAATAAGCCAGACTTAGAATTAACACTCCGTTCTCCAACACAAACAAATTTTACAACCTCGCCTTGACCCCCTTCCCTGGAATCTCCGGCAACCCTCCCTCCAAATCCCTCGGAATCAAATGTTCCACATCCCCTAGATTGAGATACCGCGGATGGCACTGCTCCAACGACGTTATACCCAACAACCTCATCGTCGTTTCCAACTCATCTTTCATAATATCGATGAAGTGCTCCACACCTTCTTGTCCATACGTCAGTGAATACAAGAAAGGCCGACCCATTCCAACAGCTTTAGCCCCTAGACACAGCGCTTTTACTATGTCGGTTCCGCGCCGGATACCGCAGTCGAGGTAGACTTCTAGGCTGGAAAAGACTTCGGGGGCGTGGCGCCGGATTTCGAGGAGGGTTAGGAGGGAGGGTGGGGAACTGTTGTTCTCTATTAGTAAGCCGCTCTATCATTTTGTGGATTTGAAAAGGGGAGGTTGAGGGGACATACGTATCCAAATTCCTCCCACCATGGTTCGTTATCACTATACCATCCAACCCGTATTTCACAGCTAGCATCGCGTCATCAACTGTCTGCACTCCTTTCGCTACGATGGGTAGTTTTGTTGCCTTCCGCAGCCAGGCGATGTCATCCCAGTTGAATGTGTCGTCTATGTATGTGCCCATAGTGCGACCGAGACCACCGCCTTTCTTGTCGTTTGTGGCTGCGGCGCCGCTGATGGCGGCTTTGGCAAAGGTTGCGGATTCGACTTTTACGCGCTCGTCGCCTTCTGTAGTACGGGGTTAGCAACAGTCTCCGGGCGCTGGAGATGCAGAGAGGGGGGCTTGGTAGGGTGGGATGGGGCATACCTCGTTTTCCCTGTACGGGCCCATCAATGGTGAACCACACGCCCTTGATCCCATTCTTCTCCGCGTCTTTGAGAAGAGCTTCAGATGCTTTCCGGTCTTTGTTGACGTAGAGTTGGAAGAAGAAGGGTATGGAGTCTTTCTTCACACTGCCGGTAATTTCTTGCATGGTAAACGACGCATTCGTAGAGATCTGGCAGCTCGCGTTAGCACATCATCTTTCCCACATTCCCGTCTTTCGGCTCATAAACCAAGGAATGAATCAACATACACACTGTGCAACCCCCCTCCCCTCACACCCCCTCGCCAACGCCCTCTCCCCCTCCGGATGCGCCAACCTCGCCATCGCAGCCGGACTAACAAAGAACGGCAACTCCACACTCTGCCCTAACATCTTCGTCCTCGTATCAACATGCCGGATATTCCTCAACAATCGTGGTCGAAACCAAATCCGATCAAACATGCTCTTGTTCGCATCCCGCGTCACGAGATTTGTCGCGCCGCTGGAGTAGAACGCCCATGCCTTTTTGCCAAGGACTTTCTCGGCGACGGCTTCGAAGTCGTAGCTGTTTATCAAGCTGGTTAGGGGTGGCTTTGAGGCGATTGATAGGGCGGGCTGGGCGGATTCTGTTGGGGGTGGTTTTAGGAGGTCGTAGGAGGATGTTGAGGAGGAGACTTTGCCGATGCGTTTGCCTGGAGCGAGAGTCTTGGATATCAAAGTGGGTGAGTGGACTGAGTTGTAGGCTAGGGAGGCGTCGAGGCCGGCGTGTTTGGTTATTACTGGGTTGTTGTCAGCGGTGGTTTTCCCAGAAAGATGCAATCTGGACCTGGCTGTCTTGTGGTGAGAACCCCAAGAAGGGATTGGCAACAAAGTTTAGTTTTTCTGCATTCCTCCAAACACGACACGACCCTGAACTTCAGTAAAAGACACTGAATGCACTCACTCTCATCGCCACCAGGATGGCTCGGTATGAACTCTGTTATGTCCCAAATCACATCATCTACCACTATCCAACAGTCGTGTTCACTGGCATGCTTCTTGATCTCTTCTACTGAGACGGCTCTGTCTGCCATGTTGTCAACAACTTGGCGCTACAGTAGATCGTAGGGATTGAATCATGCTAAAAACGCAAGTAGTTCCAAACGTTTGTAATGTTCGCGAGGCTGTCAATTGGCGCGGCAGCCACCTCGCTAGTCGATCTGCCGACGTGACTGCGGAGAAGTGGGCCCGGCGAAACTCCGATGGCTCGCTGGCAGCGACGAGCATCTAACAACCGCAACCGCGGCCGACACCACTAACACTGGCAAGCACCTAATGATTACGGATACAGTGAGCCGTGTGGAGAAGGTGTCGCGAGCAATATGCCTGCATTGCAAGGACGAATAGTCGGCCGAGGCACCGCTCCGATGGTTGCGGAGCGCGATTCGTATATGAGTAAAGTTTGTATGGCAGAGCCGCATGCCATCTCACACTACCCCAGTTCATCAAGAACACAATGCGTATTCTTATCACAGGCGCCGCCGGCTTCATCGGTCAACTCGTGGCGAAGAAGTTGCTCGACGACGAGAAGGCAGCGCATTCCCTCATCCTCACCGACATCATCGAACCACCCATCCCATCAAATGCGCAATCCTCAGCACGAGCACAAGCCATCAAGGCAGACTTATGTACAGAAGCAGATGCTGTCGTTACTAAAGACATAGAAGCCGTCTATGTCTTCCACGGCATCATGTCCTCAGGCGCAGAAGCCGATTTCGAGCTGGGTATGAAAGCAAACTTCGACGCGACTCGCGCACTCCTCGAATCTATCCGGAAAACAAGCCCAGGAGCGAGAGTTATATACGCATCAAGTCAGGCAGTATACAACAACTCTGTCACATTACCTGTCACGGAATCTCAGATGCCAACACCAGAGACAAGCTACGGCGCGGAGAAGATGATGTGCGAGTACCTCATCACCGAATACACACGACGCGGCTTCATCGATGGCATCTCGCTTCGCTTCCCCACTGTCTCGGTACGGCCTGGGAAGCCCACCGCGGCGGCGAGTTCGTTCATCAGCGGTATGATCCGCGAGCCGATGAATGGTATCAAATGTGTCATTCCATTAGAGGACAAGCAATGGCGGCATTGGCTATGCTCTCCCCGGATATTAGTCCAAAACCTCGTCTACGCAGCTACGGATTTCGAAATCAACCGCCTCGCCAAGTTTGATCGCTGCCTCAACTTCCCTGGTATCGGCGTCTCGGTGCAGGATATGATGGACTCTCTTGCGAGAGTAGGAGGTAGCGATAAGCTTGACCTGCTTGAGATGAAGGACGAACCTACGTGCAAGAAGATTCTATACTCATGGCCTGCTGAGTTCGATAACACTAAGGCTCTGGACCTTGGGTTCGTGAGAGATACCGGATTCGATCAAATTGTTCGGGATTATGTGGAGGCTTTTGCACCGAAACAAAGTGTGAAGGGAACCGGGCAGGCGAGCCAGAAGATTGAGAGTGTGCAAGTCAATACTGTAGAAGTCGCCGCATGATATACAAAACCACGATCCATTTGAAAGATTAACACAGCCGCTGTGTCACCATTTCTACCAGCGCTCTCTTGTGATGTCCAAACCATCGCGTGGAAACTATTACGTCTGCAAGAATACATGCCAGTCGTCTTTCTTTCGCGTTTCAATGATCGAGCTACTTTTGTCCTACACAAACTATCTTGTTCTGTGTTGACACCCATATCGTATGCAGTACAGCCTTGCGCACTGTCGGTGACTGAATGCACATGCTGCCCGTCGACACGTTCCATCACGACCTTGTTCGGCTGTACATAAAGCACCGTGATCGGCGCATCCCCGGTCTTCCCCCCTCATCATCCTGATCATTGCCAACTCGCTCAGATACCGATGGTTCAGCATGCAAGCATCATTTCAGTAAGTCTCGGCCAAGATGCCGTGATCACCAGGCCATGACACCTGCTATGCATGTGCGACTTGCATGGACGACCTTACCCGGCCGGGAGACATAGCTAGATGCGGGAACCCCCGCATCTCATCCCACACTAAGCTAGCCAACACCAGCAGGTAAGACGACGACGTGACGATATGGATCCGGGGTAGGAGTATAAAATGCAGTTTACCCCAGGTTCGTGGGGTAGCGTCAATCTGACTTCACTCTCAACCGTCACGACCACAGAGCCTCGTCCAATCCATCACGATGGACGTCGAAAAGCACTCTCTGGAGAAGGATGTAGCGTGCGAATACATCGAAGCTACAAATGAATCTCGCAACTCCGTCCCCGAGATCCTGCGAAACCACACACCCGAGCAGCTCATCGCTCTTGAGAAGAAACTCGTACGAAAGATTGACTTTCGAGCTCTACCCATCTTGATCGTCCTCTTCTTGCTCAATGTGCTCGACCGAAACGCCATCGCCAACGCACGCCTCGGAGGTCTAGAAGCTACGCTCGGTATCGATGATGTCGAGTATCAGACTGCCGTCATGGTGTTGTGGGCTGGTTACATCTCCATGATGATTCCGTCGAACATGCTGCTCTCCATCTTCAAGCCCAGGCTATACCTACCGACAGTTGTCATTATCTGGGGTATTGTTTCCGGCGCTACAGGATTCGTTCAGAATCACGCCGGTCTAGTCGCCTTGAGATTCCTGGTCGGTGTAACGGAAGCACCGTACTTTCCTGGGTGTATCTTCTTCCTTTCGTGCTGGTACACGCGGAAAGAGCTACCGAGTCGTATCGCCACTTTCTACTCCGGGTACACGCTGTCCTCGGCCTTTGGCGGATTGATTGCCGCTGGCATTGTCGACGGCATGGAAGGTCTTGGTGGCTACCCGAGTTGGCGCTGGATCTTCATACTTGAGGGGGCTCTAACAATCGTTATGGCTTTTGCTGGATACGCACTTCTTCCCAACTACCCATCGAATACCTCGTTCCTATCGGCTGAAGAGACTGCTATGGCGCAGTGGCGACTTGACCGCGAAAATGATGGTGTGGCAGATGAAGTGAATGAATCTGTCTTCGTTGGACTGAAGCAGGCTTTCTCTGATCCGAAAGTGGTACGTATCTCTCTCATCTTGTCATTGCGTGTCGAGAATCAAAATCTGTAAGCCAGTACGCGTTGCTAACGTCGAGTGCCATTTCTAGCCATTACTCGTCTTCATCCAGACATGCGCCGTCGTATCCATGAGCTTCACCTACTTCTTCCCATCCATTGTCCAGACACTTGGCTTTCCCCGCGTCGAGACTCTCTTGCTTACAGCACCACCCTATTTCCTGGCCTTCATCTTCTCGGTCGCGAATTCGTGGCACTCTGGGCGCTCCGGCGAGCACTGCTTCCACATCGTTGCTGCGTGCGTCATCTCCGCGGTTGGCCAGATCATCTCCATGTCAACATACCAGACTGGTCCTCGCTACTTTGCCATGTTCTTACAAGCTATGGGATCTTTCTCCGCTTTTCAGCTCATCTTGCCTTGGGTTTCTGCAACGGTCGCACGGCCAAAAGCGAAGAGGGCTGTTACGTTGGCACTGGCGACGGCTGTGTCGAATGCGACGAACATCGCCACTGCTTACCTATATCCCGCATGGAGCGCACCGTAAGTCTAAAGTCTATGATCGATGAAAAGCTGCTGACTGAACCTGTAGTCTTTATCGCATGGGATGTATTGTATTGACGGTAGCGCTCCTTTGCTGCGCAACTGCGTCACTCATACTGCGCTTCTGGCTGCAGAAGTTGAACCGCAAGTCTGACCAGGCGGTCGGCTTGGAGGGTGTCGCTAATGGGCCCGGTCTTCTTTTCCGCTATACTTTGTGAAGAGACTGTAGGCACAGCCACTCGTCGCATGCCGTAGCTGCCTTTGACATGAACATAAAATTCGCATTTATCTTGACATTACGCTATCGCATGAGTGCTCGTAAGCCTTTCCTATTCCTGAGTTCCCATGCGCTGTGATTAACTATGGTGTTTCTATTGAGCACATCAGTATGTCTGCCTTCCACGATGAGCTCTCTTTCTAACCTTTTCTTCCCAAAGCTGGTTGATTCATGTATGTTGCTCAATATCTGTTCACCTGCACTTCATTCCCCTCTTCTTGAATCTGTACCGTCTAGTTCCACCGGTGGTCCAGGTATGATATGCACACTCGTCGATCCAGCCTCAACTGGAGCCGACGGTGCTTCCGTCTCAGCCCTCCAATGGCCACTCAAAAAGCGTTTTGATCCGTTCGCATCACCATCCATCTCCGATACCCCAATCTCGCCCGAGGACTCCTGCTCTGGTTGCTGTGCATCTTGCTTCTGTTGTCGTTGTTGTTTCCGCCTCCGCAATAGGAATAAGAAGAACACGACGCCTAGTATAACGACGATACCCACCCCAACACCAATACCAGCTTTGGCACCTGGACTTAAGCCGGAGTTCGTATTTTGTGATGTGATGGGCGGAGACGAAGTCGATGGTCCGGAGTCTGCATCTTGCGAGGTAACGGATGGTAGTGAAGAGGACGCTGCGGAGCCGTCGAATGAAACACCAATCACCGCTGCAATAGAAGATGCATAGTCCTTCGGGAACAGGGCGAGGTCGCTAGACTGCCAGAAGACGACGGTTGGTTTCGCTCGAGCCGTACCTGTTGTCAACACCGTCTTACTGTTCATAGTAGTAGTAAAGCATGGGCTAGAGCTGCAGATCTGCACAGTGGTGTCGATCAGCGAGACGACGGATGTTCCTCCAACCGCAACGTCGTTGGTTGTAGTGGTGGTGAATCGGCTAAGTACAGTTGTCGTCCCCGAAAAGGTTTTCTCGCAGAACCAGCCTTCGCGTTCCACAAAACGATAAGACATATCGCTAATTTGCATTTATGTAAGCGCGTGTCTGCACGGTGGGAGTTTTGGAACCTTTGAGGGTATAATTAGCGTACCTGGGACAACAGTATGCTAACCAATAGACATAGTCCAAGCGAATCTCATCTATCTCAGCGGGTTGTTGACTATCCCCACAAACTCCTGGGCTGTACAGCGGCGTCGTCTGCTCCTGCCGATACGGATTGCATTCATAGTAATAGGATTCGGCAACAGCATCGGTATAGTATTGAAAGACGGCCCTTCCGCTGTAGATTGCAGATGAACTGGTATCGTCGTAGATCCAGCGCGTTGAACATTCTCCTGGGGGCGTAAAGACGGTCAATAGCGGGGGCAAATTCGTTGGAGCAGTTTGGTATCTCCAATCAGACTTTGGTATGGTTGAAACAGTCGCCATATGGTCGGTATCTCGAAGGCATAATAAGTCGACGCTGATTTCAGGGAAGAACGGATCTTAAAGAACTCCGCCTGCGGCACAGAACTTTGATCCAGATGTGGAGAGGTGACAGGCATCGAATTGCGAGGTTGATTGGTAGAGTTGCTACGCCGCATAATGCGGCGTAGTCCTTCGGCGCCGATATGTGCATATCACGCAGCGGCTACAGCGGCATATGTACTTCACACACCCAATACTATGGCAGAGTACCTGCAGCCTTGTTGTATGCAGGATGGGCACACAATCAACAGTGAGCCAGGGAAATGACGGCCATCGCTGGATTGCGACCTTCGTTAGCGCGACAAATTGATCATAGCGTCCCTCTCTTTTCCATATCCTCAACGGTCTCTCTCCCGCTGCGTGCTATCCAACTCCACCGGCGACCGCGGCACCACACCTCCCGTCCCAGCTTCGACGGGCACCGACCTTCCATCCGCCTCAGCCCTCCATTTAGTATCCACAGGGTGCATGAACCCTTGCGAGTTTCCATCCATCTCCGCCTCGTTCGGCTGCTGAAGACGTTTTCTCTGCTGCTTTTTCCTTCGCCTCAAGAACAAGAGGCTGACGACACCGATAATAACGAATAGGCCTATCCCAACGGCTATGCCCGCTATAGCGCCAGGACTTAAGCCATCATCTTTTGAGTCCGGAGATGGATCTGCAGTCGTATTGTTGCCTCCAAATGTAGTGTCAACCAGGGACGCGAGTGACGAAGCATAATCGGTAGGAAAGTTCGACAAATCCTTCTCTTCCCAATACACCCCGAAGGGAGTAGCAAAAGCCATACCAGAAGATAACACAGTCGGCCTCTGCAGCGTCGTCTGATCTGCGCAAGTCTGGGAACCCCCTGACCTTGTACAAAACCTCGTTGCTGTGTCAATGCCAGAGACGATTTGAGTCCTATCCCACTGGTCTATAATTGTCGTCGTGAAATTTGCGAGCGCAGTCCTAGGAGTCGAAAATTCGCCTTCGCAGTCCTGTCCAAGAACTGTCATGGACATTCCCCTGGTGGATACGTAAGCCCGGGTTTAGAGATTCGGATTCAGCCGTGGGCAAACAACCTGTCGCAACACCATCCTTTCCACCTTCGCGAGCTGCCAAAGCGCTGCTCCTCGATACCAGCTATCGTTTGTTGGCTTGTACATATTCCCGGGCTGTAATAAGGCTGATCTATCGGCTGGAGGAAAGGGCGGCAAGACTTCCAGTAGTTCGCTGATAGAAGGCTTGCGATACTCGTCCGACCACCCGGGTTTCCGTTCGTGGATTGCCAGACAAGATTATTGTCTCCGCTTCGGATGTTGGTGGTATTGAAAGGATTTTGTACCCATTGGGTCGCGCATCCCGGGCTAGGATCATATCTGGTTGTCAGAGGGGGAGGATCGCCGGATGGGCCTGAACTGCTCCAGTCCGCAAGGTCCGTAGCAACGGCTATGTTGGAAACCACCATGCTTGATGTTGATGGGAAGTCGAACGGAGCGTAAGAACAAACGTTTCAGGAGAAAGGGCTTGGGAACACGGGAACTATGAACTCGAAGTCGAGCGCATAGTAGTTGAGACATCGGCGACTTGAAGGTTGCGGGGCGGCCACCAATCTTCCGACATGGCTGACCGGTGGCCCGCCTGCAGCCACCAGATGAACGGCGACCTCTCATAACCAGCCTACTAACACAAGCAAGCCTTGTCAGGCGGAGCGGACCCTATCAGCGGTGTCGCGCTGTCCCGCCCGAAGCCACAGAGTAACACCTAACAGCCCTGCCGCATCACAAGGCTGGCCCCCACACCGTATCGGAAACCGGTAACAAGCTGCGAGATCATCTCGATCATTGGCCGTAGGAGCATGGGTGCGACTGAACGCCGAACTGGACGCCTTATTCTCTTTACCCACATCATAGAGCAGGCCCATCCAGGTAAGGTCGATGGTAGATGGGAGCACGACAGATGTTAGAAGTGACGATGCAGGGGGAAGGAGATGCGCATTCCGGAAATAGAGTGGATATTGACTAGTGCCAAACGGAAGAGAAGTAGCCAATCAACGAAGCACAGCCGCAATTGCCCAAGATTCAGCAGCGTGCAGCAGTGGCTAGGCAATCGCATGAGGCTGAGGGGTCTTACACTTCCAGGCTGCTCTGTCAATAGAATCTAGCCCGAATCTCTCCAGGCTGTGCACCAAGAAGACCTCCAGAAGTCAATAACCATTGCGAAACAAGACCGGGCCCCAGTTTGAATGAAATGCGTATTCTTTCCTTGGTAAGGTGTCGCATCTGCGGTCCATCAATTCTCGTTCGTGCAAATTGTTGTAAGATCTTCCTCGCGTTCGTTTCCAAGATGTCGATCTGCATGGTGTATGCTTCGTCCTTCCATCCCGATACCCAGATATGCGATTATTGATCCCGTTCCCTCTGCGTACCATCCAACTCCACGGGCGGCCCTGGAATAATCCTCACGCTTGTCGATCCAGCTTCCACCGGCTCTGAAGTCCCGTCTGTCTCAGCTCTCCATTTTCCACCCATGAAGCGCTTCAACCCTCTTGAACTTCCTTCCATCTCCGGCACGTCTGGATGTTGTAGAAGTTGTCGTTGCTTTTGTCGTCGCCAAAGGTACAGCAGGACAACGATGCTGAATATGACCAACGCGCCAATTCCGATGGCTATACCGGCTATAGCTCCGGGGTTCAGACTGGAGCCTTTGTTGTTAACGTCAGTAGTGGGGCGTTCTGGCTCTGGAATTGCAGTGTGAGGTTGAGTCGTAGTGTTGGATTGAGTTGCAGCTGTGAAAGGGACTTTAATCCTTGAAGCGAGCGACGACGCGTACTCGTCAGGAAATCTGGTCAGATCGCTGCTTTGCCAATATACCCACAATGGTGATGCAATTGCGGAACCGGATAGGACCTCAGTCGGTGGGTGCCGAAAAGTTGTGAAATCCACGATCCCGCCAACCCCTCCAAGCTCGCTCCCACCCGAGCATATCGACGCTGTCAGATCCAGAGCAAATACTGTAAGGTTCCCAGAGTCACAGAGACGCCGCGAGGAGCTCACGGTAGTGGTGAAAGATGTGTAGGCCTCCAAAGGAGATGTGAAAGACTTTGCGCACCAATCGCTCGACCCGAGTAATGTCATACCCCTGGGTGATATGTAAGCCGATTTTGTGCTTCGTAGTCTTCGAACGGGGATAACAACCTGTCGCAGCAGATTCCTTCCCATACCACCGAACTTGGAAGATGCCATTCGGTTATTTCAACAAAGTCCTGACCAGACGCACATACTCCGGGACTATATCCTGCGTTTAACTGGGTATACGGATTACAACGTGCGAAATAGTCGGTTTGCAGGCCACCGTTAATGACGTCCCACCCACTCCAAATCGTTCCTGGCAAATCACTTATCCACTGAGTTGAACATCCGGGTGGAGCCTTAAATTCTGTTGTTAGTGGAGCAAGTTTGGCCCTGTCTGACCCAAGAGAGTCCACTTCACTCGGATCCGTGACAGTAGTTGTGTAAATTCTGCTCATACTTGATGTTGGAAATGACGAAACGCAGGAAACCAAATAAGTTCAAGACAACGGAAGGTACAGAGAAAAGAGCTAGAAGGCTGAACAATGTAAGGAAATGACCAGAACGTTCCTGGGCGGGCACCGCCAATCCCCAAAGCTGACCGGCTAAAGCCCTTTACATAGATTCCCACCAACTGTGACGCAGTATCGGAACCAAACCATCGGGACTGCTAATGTATCTACGATGGAAGAAGAAGAAATGATCGATGTTAAAGGGGCGAAGTCATGCAGTACCACCCCTCTAACCTCAACGATTCGTGTTGAGCTATAATGCTGACCCCCACATAGCTCCCGAATAGGCAGGGCTAAAGTAAGCCAACACCCGACCACAAGGACTATCTCGTTCTTTCGATTTGTTGCTGCCAAAAAAGATGTTCTTATGAGTGTTGACCGGATTGCGGGTTGCGGTGTTGATCAAGATCAAAAGAAAGAAAAGGAAACCCCACCAAAGTACCAAAGTAGCAGATTAGCAGATTAGCAGCACGCATACTGACAAGATAAGTGCAAAGTGAAGACGGTAAGTTGTATTCGAGTCGGCATCGACTTCCTAATCCACACATCATCATTTCACGCACGTCGCCCTCAGCTCCCATCTAGTTAGGCGCACCAGTACCACGTGGCCTGTGCGCTACGGCGCGATGCCTCTGCGGCTCTTCCCTGTACCTATCGATTGTTAGCATAATCTCGCAATCCTACGTCTCGATGTCGACTTACTTCTTAACAATCCTCTCAATAGAGTCCAGTCCCTTCTCCAGAACATCCATCCTAGGTCCATAGCTCAACCTGACAAAGTGATGGCACGGCGAATCAAACAGATCCCTACGACGGCTAGGGTTCAAGTCGAAGAAAATACCAGGCACCACAATGACCTTCTCCTCGAGACAAGCCTGGAAGAAGTTCAAACCGTCGTTGATACCCTCGGGCAAGTTCGACAGGTCGAGCCACAGGTAGAAAGTCGAGTTGGGCATGTACGGGAACTTGAAGCCGATTTCCTGGAGACGGCCAATGACGAAGTCGCGCTTGGTGCGGAAGTGCATTTGCAGGGCGCGCATCTCGTTGCGGACGCGGGGTGGTGAGAGCATCTCTACGGCGGCTTCTTGGAAGGGCACGTTGCAGCCACCGTCGAGGTAGGAACCGCAGGAGCCGATGGCTTGGATGAATTCTTTGGGGCCGATGACCCACGCTACTCGCCATCCGGGGAGGCGGAATCGCTTGGTCAGTCCGTCGATGATGAGGACGTCGTCCTCGTCTACGTCTTCGACGTTGTCGGCGGCCGAAATGACGGTGCCGTCGCAGTTGGTGGTGTAGTTGTATCCGCAGTAGAATTCGTCCATGATCAGGGTTGCGCGGTCTCGGCAGATGTTCTGGATTTGTGCAAGTTCGGGGTTGGTGACCATCTGTTAAGCTGTTAGCATGCATAGTAAGATTTGTAAACACTGTCTTAGCCGCTGCGTAGGTGGATGAATGAGGTCCGCTTTCGCAAAATGATTATACGCAGCTAAATTATAAGAAAGGATCTTGAACGTACCTGACCAGTTGGGTTCCTCGGGTTCGATGTAAGGATAACAGAAGTACCGCGAGCGATCTCCTCCGCAATCTTGTCAGGAGACATATGGTATTGGTCGGCCTCGCCCAGGGGAACGGGAATAGCAGCGATGTTACGGAAGAGCGACAACATCTCGTTATACGCAGTGTAGTCTAATCTCGTTAGCACCAACCATAACCCGCGATTCCAATCTAAACATACCAGGAATGAAGAAACCCAAGTAGCAGTTACCCAACACAGCAGCAATACGGATCAAACCCGCACGTCCACCAGGCACAATACACACATTCTCCCATGTGTACTGGCTCTTGCGCCACTTGCGGTGGTGCTCATTGTATAGTGTCGCGACCGCCTCTCTCAGCGGCCTAATACCAGCAGTTGGGCCGTACTCTCTGCCATGGGCACTGATATCGACCTCCTTCGGCCTCTCAAAGCAGCCTTTGATGCTATCGTCGACTTCAGGCGCACCCTGACCTAGGTTCGCCCATTCTTCCGGGTGCTCGAGGAAACCGTGCTTGTAGGCTTGTTCGGATGTCCAGACGACACCTGTGGAGGCGCGCGTGGCGTCGAGACCGGCGTGTGGCTTGTGGCCCTCGTGCGACTGGCGGAATTGGCGATGGATGGAGGATCCGAGTTCTATGATGTGTTAGCACTTGTGACCTTCAATACATCCTCCCAGTTTGTAAAGACCTGATTCGTGTCTAGTATGCGACATGGCTGCAAGGAACGACGCAGGGAACGAGGTGCGATAAGAAAAGCGGCTAAAGAGACAACGGCACCTCCAACAAGACTCTCCAAAAAAGCGCGCAAAAGTTGGAGAAAGACCGATAGGAACCTCAAGCGGTAATATCGGAATGCCTAAGCTCCCCAAACCCCCATCTTAAGCAGCGCGGCGCCCCCAATTTTCTCAGATCCACTTCCATTGGGTTGTACACCTCAGGAATGACGTAGTAGCCAACAGCAATCGGGAAGAGACAAAACGGGTAGATAGATACGTACCACTCTCGCTAGGATCCTTGGAACTCGAAAAGCGCCTCTGCGAGAACGCGCCCTTGAGATGACTGACTTTGTCTGCCGAGAAAGACATCGTGTGTGTAAAGTTTGGTGGTTGTGCGAAATCAAGCTTTTGCCTAGCTTTCGATGATGGAGGGGTGGGTGCGCAGATCTTCGTAGTGGGGTGGGTGGAAGGAAAGACGGCAGTCGAAAAGAGGTTCACGATATCGACGGAACAGAGGGAGCATTCAAGAAATGAGGGGCTCAAGGATAGATAACTTGGGTATGTAGGGTAGGTAAGGCGCATCGGCCCTTTATAACTCGCCGTACGAAGTAAACACGCGTGTCGTGGTGGCCCTCTCGCACGCCAGGTAGGGCATCCACCCACAAACGCATGCATGCACGCATCCACAACTGCACATGTGCTCGCTCTATTCGTAGCTAGCCCAATACCGTATGTAACATTCCTTCTTCCGCGTCCTGCTTCAGCCACCGGGGATAACACAGACACGCCTTTGCGACGTTGCTCAGACAATTCCTAATCCCTAATCAATTGCCTCACGGAGATGGAGGCTTACGTCTCGGATCGGCGCGTGCCTTTAGCCTCTAGATCACACAGGTCCTCCATCCTGGGTTCACTTGTCCTTCACCGCTTGACGGTATACGTAGCGTACGGTAGTTAGTGCTGCCGACCGCGTCGAGGCCGATGTAAGAACTTAGTCCATGCCACATGGGACGGATATGCAGGTCGGCATTGGCGTGGAGAAGACGCCTGCCAGCCATGCAGAGCCCTCCCGATGTGTGGCCAAACAACCCCCTGTCGGCTTACGCCTCAGCACCGCCAGATGTCACAGCTGCAGCTGCAAATGTCATCAACCGATATGAGGCTTGTAACACTGGTCGCTGATCCGCAGTTCCGTGGCGCCCAAGGGGAATAATGCCTCAACCCAGCCACAGTTGCAGCCCTACGATCGTGGGCCCACTCATGTTTCCTGTCCGCGGTCCTGGCAGTCGGTTCATTGACGACCCGAATATTTCCGATACATCTTCGTTCTGAGAAACCACGCAAAAAAGACTTGAGACGAGTTTCAGCTTACGAACAACACAAGTGATAACGGAGTAAAAATATCCATTCCTATATACAGACAATGCACAATTACTCTCATCATATTCCTACAGCAGCACCACCTGACCAACTGAAACCCAAACACAAGGAAAACGACATTGCACAAAACAAAACAGCAAACTACTCTACAGGCTCATCCTCAAGCAACTGCTTAAAGCTAAACGGCTCAAACGCAACACCGTCACCGATGAAATGCTTACTCATAGCCTCGACCCAGTGCAGACGCAGCGAATGCAACATGGCACTCGTACCCTCCATGACACACAGCACAGCGACGGTGAGTGCGAACCAAAAGTAAAAGACAAAGACCATGATGAAGGCGCCGCCGACGCCGGTGAAGGCGAAGGCGTTCTTCATGGTCATTTCCCAGAGGACGATGGAGAGACGTTGGTGGGCAAGGGAGAGGGCCCAGAGACGGAGGTACGAGGCTGTGTGGGAGACGCAGTTGAGGCAGAATTCTGAGAAAGTTGTTAGTGAATGTCGTTCAAGGTTCAAATGGAGGGAACTTACCGATGGTGTGAATGACTTGGTGGATCATGACTTCACTGAACTCAAACTCCTCATGCTCTTCGCCGTGGCCAATGTCCTGGGTGATCATGGCAATGCCGTCGTCGTCATCTCCGTAGCTATCACGCCCGTTGGCATGACCGTTCTCATCATCGTCGTCGAGCGCGCTGACTCGCGAGTTTTCGCCGATGCCGCGGTAGCCCATTGCGCGAGCCTTGTTGTGCTCGTATCGAAGGTAGAACGGCTTGAGGAAGAGCAGAACGGGAACGCAAGCAAGCGCCAACAAGAGGAGAACCACTTGAATGCCTGCTTGATGAGGGTAGAGCGGCTGGGTGCCAGCCTCGAGTGTACCGGGACTCAAGAACATGTAGATCAACATGTTGAGCAGACTGGGCGGGCTCTCGCCACGCGCAGGCCAGTCGATGCACCATTTGTACACAATGGTAAAGGCGAGGTAACCGAAGATGGACTGGAAGAAGATCATACCGGGAACGAAGTTACCCCAGATGTCAATCTTGGTCTTGAAGTAGCGAGCGTTGACAAGCGACCACATCAGGGAGAAGGTCATGTGGGTCCAACCGAGCAAGATACTGAGCTTCATCTTGTAACTGTTGGAGAACAGCAGATCATTCTCGGTGTCGTGCCAGCGGTAGTCCAGACCGAAGGGGTAGGTGTAACCTTCCACACGGCTCGAGGTTGGGCCCTTGCCGTCGTTGTCCCACACCCACATAGACTTGAACCAGGGCAGTCCGAGAGAGAAAGCGTCGCAGTAGAGAAGACCGGTGTAGATGGAGAAGAGACCCATCATGAAGACAATGTAACGACCGTAGAACATCATGGAGAACAACTCATCGAGCTTGCTGCGCTCAAGTCGCTTCTCGAAGTAAATCATGGCGCAAGCTGCGAGAAGCATAATGACACCGTGTCCGGCATCACCGAACATGACAGCGAACATGAAGGGGAACGTAACGATGGCTGGCAGCGCAGGGTTGACCTCGCGGTACTTGATCGTTCCGTAGGCATCGATGATGGTCTGGAAACCCACCGTGAACCTGTTCGACTTGAAGTATGTCGGTGGCGTCTTGGTGGTCTTGATCTGGTTGACAATGGTGGGTACTGACAGGCCAGCACGCTCGTTGACATCTGAGAGAGTCGACTTGATCAGACCGAGGGAGTTGGTAGGAGCCCATGCCTCAGCAATGAGCGTCTTGCGCTGGTGGTCGTAGGAGAATTTGTTCAGCGTCTCATAGGTAGCCTTCTCTTTCTTGATGACGACCATCCAAGCTGCGAGGTTGCGTCCTATCGCGGTCAACTCGGCATCGAGGGTGGACTTTGTGTTCTTCAGGACGCTAGCCAGGTCACTCAGGCGGGTGTTGACTTCGCGAATCTGGTCGCGGCGTAGTTCGCTGTTCTCGTCCACGCTGTAGAGGTCGGCACCGAGCGACTCTGAGATCTTGCGGATCTTTGCGATGATCTCCTTGCCGTGCGCGAAGATGATGAAGACGTTCTTGTTGGTTTCCTCGTTGTTCTCCGGGTTGATGATGGCCTCGGGGATCTCCGACTGATTCATGTACAAGTTACCGCGGAGAGTACGCCACAGGATGCGCTCGAACGCGGCAATGCGTTCGCGGGGAATGACACCAGCGACGAAACCGATGTTCATGACGGTGAAGGAGCGCTCGGCACCCGTGTCACCCTGTCCGTTCTGTTCAACATCCTGGAGCAGCGGCGCGTCGTCATCATCAACAGATTCCCTAATCTGCTCAGTCTGGCCACGGGCCCGGTCGAAGAAGCCACCAGCCTCTCTCAACACCCATCGCCACTCTGTGAGCTCCACCTCGCGCTTCTTCAGGGTCTCGTAGCTCTCGTTCAACGAAGAGATTCTCTGCTCCAGGCTCTGGCTCTTGTCCGCGAGCTCGTCGATCTCGGAGGCGGAAGGCGCCGTGAAGGGGTTGTTGAAGTCGTAGATGGAGCGCATCGAGATGTCCGACTTCTCCATCTGGGCGCGAAAGTAGCGGAGCTGGCGTTCCACGTTATCGAGGCGGCGAATCTCCTGGGTGAAAGTACGTTGGAAGGCGGTCGTATCGGCGTTGAGCTAGCACATCTTGTCAGCTTCCCATGCCATCACATCCGTCCCAGAGCTGCCAGAGAAGCTCCAGAACACGTCTGCCTGTGCTCACATCTCTAAAGTCCATGACACCAAGCTCTCCGAGGCCTGAGACGACCTCGCGGCCAATCTCGTTGGCGATGTACAGCTGGGTCAAGGACATGTCCGCGGAGCGGAACATGGTGTCCTTGTTGGGCGCCATGATGGCGGATCGGGAGACAAGACTTCGGGGGAGGTGTGCTTGTCCCGGAATTCGATGGGGGCGGGTTATGCGAGATGGAGGTTGATGGAGCGAGAGCTGCCTCGAACGCCTGCGCGATGATGATGCGGCGAACCCAGTGCCAGCTCTTAGCGTCTTGACGCGCCAAGCCCCGCTACTGCATCCATGCCAACCACACCCATTCACCATCTAAAAGCAATTCACAAGCAATACAAGCAATACAGTGAGGTCTGATGCTGTTCGCCATCGCGAGATCGTGGTGGTGAAACCAATATTTATTTATCTAAGTAGTTGACGAGCAACAAAGCCTTGCTCAGGCATTCGCCTACTTGACGTCCCTATAACCCCGATACATTGCTGCTTGCCATAATGCAAGAAGCCAGGCGAAGACCGGAATATCAAATGACGAGGAATCAAAGTTTAGCTTTATTAGGACAGAGTAGAAATATCCAGACTAAGAAGGATACAGCCACCGAACGCAAGACGCAGAACACCATGCAAACGTAAGCAGATCATCTCTTGTGTAAAAGAGCCACATCGTAAGCAGCTGAGAAAAGACCGATACCCGCCAGTACATTTGATAATATGAATGTTTTTGTGTCGCTTGCTGTCGTGACCGAGGGAAAGAACCAAGTTACGCTGTCGAATGTGCTTCGCCTAGAACACCAAATATCCCAATCGAAAGCCAGATGCGCCATGCTCGACTGCAAGGAAGGAACTGTATAGTTGGACGTAACATGTCGAAATGCAAAACCGATAATCAGAGCGATTGTGAGATGGGACATGGGTGGCAAGGATCTAGTCGTCTATTGTTGCGGATAGAATGTCGCGGGCTGCATTTGCTGTGGGTAGTAATAGGCGCCGTCCGGACCAGGTGTCATCATGCCTCCCATCCCAGGAACGGCATAGCTAGGCTGAGCGTAGTTCTCCACCGGCGGCGCGGGGTAAAGCGAGGCGGAATCCACGTAGTATGTCATGCCGTTTTGCTCGTAAGCCACCATGTTGGGAGGACCAGCCGGGGCTGGTGGAGCCGCAGGAGGAGGAGGAGGAGGAGCAGAAACCGGCATGACGTAGCCGGGCTGTTGAGCGCCAGGAACGAACATTGGCACCATGCCGGCAGGGGCCATGTATTGG